GTTCCCTGTCTTACAAACCGCATATAAATACCTTGGCGCGGATTCCGTTCCTTTGAATCGCTGCCATCTTTTCTGTTCTTCAATAAACCGTTTGCTTGTTTGGAAGTCCTGGCTCTCGCGTCTTCTGTCTGCCTTCAATCTACAAAACTGGCGATGAGGGTGGGATTCAGCGATTCCCGCAGAGCCTAGGATAACGAGCGAGGAAAAAATTAGCCAGCCGCACAAGCCGCGTTCAAACCACCGGCACGCGAACGCTAGGAAAAATTTTTTCTCTCCACTCCACTTTCTGCCATTGAACTGACTCAATCGGCTACCATGGCATCCGCTTTGCCACCTTTTGCACCGTTCGGATCTGCTGGTGAAACCTGGGAAGGTTTCATGGAGCGATTCGAATGTTACCTGATCGCATCAAAAAATCACAACCAGCCTGAAGAGGAAAAATGTAGCTTCTTTTTAAGCTGCTGCGGCCCCGCGATGTTCGCGTCAGCCAGAGCCTTAGCCGCACCACGGCCAGCCTACACGCTCGGTTGGGACACCCTGATGGCCAGGCTTAAGGGCCACTACACCCCGGCACCTTCCCGCATTGCTCGCCATTTCGCTTTCCGCCGTCGCGTCCAAAAGCCGACTGAAACAATCAGCCAATTCCTGGAGTCGCTCCGCGTCACAACGGCTCAGTGCAACTTCCAGAATCTGGACGAAAATTTAGTCGAGCAGTTCGTGTGCGGCGTGAGAGACATAAACTTGAGAAGCCACATGTTTAGGTACCACGACATCACCCTGCAGCAAGCCGTGGAGGCTGCCAGAGCAGCGGAGCTCTCTGAGCAATCCACGGCCGACATAGAACGCCTGCAGCTGACATCGCCTCTCCCTACCCCGATGCCAGGGTGCCCTCCTCCTGCCTCGCAAGCCTGCCTGGTTGACGAACTGTTGCCACCAGAAGACCCCTCCAATGAGGTCGTTGGCCAGCTTAGGGCGCAGCCAAGGCGCCCTCCGCCACCACCACCACCTCCTGCTGTGTCTACTGCCTCCGGTTGCGTTGGTTGTGGCGGCCGCCATGCCCGCACGGCCTGCCCATTCAAAAACACCATCTGCTGCCGCTGCAACAAAAAGTGGCACATCGCCCAAGTTTGCCGTGCCTCACTGCCTGCGCCGTCCTTCTTGCAGCAACCTGCCGCATCCCAAGCGCAGCCGTGCCGCCAGCCTCCACGGCCTGCTCGGCGGGCTGAAGGCTGCCACACCATGTACCTGCCAGAAGCCACCGGAGACACCGTGAGCCAGGCGTCCGCCGGAGCCCGGAAGGTTACTGCCTCACTCCACCTGGAAGGTCAGCCTTGCCACATGGAGGTGGACTCTGGCTCCTTCCACTCCCTGATTTCCTGGGCTGCCTTCTCCCGTCTATGCCCCCACGTCTCCTGTGCCCAGCTTCTTCCTGCGGACACATCCCTTAGGGACTACCAGGGGACAATCATTCCCACCCTGGGGTCTTTTCCTATCCTTGTGGACTATGGGACTTTTCATGGGCGTCTGCCCATCCTAATTGTAAAGAATTCCCTCTCTGTGTTGCTTGGCCTTGACTGGTTTTCTGCCTTGGGCCTTTCTATCAGGGGCTGCATATGGTGGTTCCCTCCTCCCTTGAGGGCGTCCTCTTAGAATTCTCGGATGTCTTCGATGGCCAGCTGGGCTCCTACAGGGGCACTCCTATCTCCCTCAACCTCGATCCCCAGGTTGCTCCAATTCGGTTCAAGGCCTGCAGGGTGCCTTTTGCCTTAAGGGCTAAGGTTGACCCTGAGCTTGACAAGCTTTTGGCGCAGGGCGTACTCGAACCCGTC